TTCCGGCCAGATGAATTGGTGTTCATTTCTAATAGAAATAACTACCATTATTTAAGGTCAAAAGATGAATATGGAGTTGAAATTGAAGTCAAGCAATACCCAGTTGCTCTTTCATTAAAAATAAAAAATAAAAAAAAATGAAGAAGAATTCAATCAACTCGTGGCCAGCTCAATCAACTCTCAAACCTATAGTGCTGTCCTTGTGAGTCAGAAGAAGGTATATATGAAATCAAAAGAGTGAAATATATGTCACATAGTTTCCTCTTCTAAACAGGCAACAATATTATAGGTATTAATCAAACATAAAAATAAGTTACAAATAACTTGAAACTTTGATGCTCATATTTGTTGTCTCGGCTCGACTTCTCATATCTAAAATTTTGACTACTTAAAATTGCCGTGAAGTTTAATCATTTAATGAAATACGACAGTTCTGTTCTTTTACATAATGACACAAGTCCAAATCTGCTCTCCCGACTTAATTATTTACTAATATTTGACACCTCGAAATTAGATTGCGATGTCAAAATCAAATGGTACAATAATCAAGTTGGGACATCAAATTTGAACTCAAACGTATTAGATGAACTCCCACCCCTTCTCTCTATATTTCTCTCTCCCCTAAATTATATTCCTATTATCTTTGTGAAAGACAAGTAGTGCGATATTAATAAGAGTGTTAGTGGGTGAAAGTTGTGACATTAATGACTAATGCATTTCTTTGTTTATGAAATAATTACATCTCACTTAGTCAACCTCCAACAATGAATGTCGGCGTGAGAATTTGAATGTTTGACCCTTTCAATTGCTTTATTTTACATCTTTTGGCTGACCCATACTTCACGTGTTGATAGGTTTGTTGACAATTTGCAACTCAGTCGTCCTTTCAAAGTCTTAAATTCAGGGAACGGAATGAGTCGAAGAGTAAAAATATTGAGCAATGCTATAAGTAGTAATTACAGTCATTTTGACATTATGATTGACAGTCTGCTCACATACTAGAGATACAGACCACAATTAAAATAATTGTGAGCCCATGATTGTTAGAGAACTGTATGTGCGTACACATCATTATTTATTTACGTTGGAGATGATCAACATGTGAAGCGACATTAAACCGTTGTCTTATATCCTCTATGACACAACGCCTGACTAGACACTAACCGTTGTCTCTACCAAATTATAATATCAATAAAGTACACTACCAAAAAACTCTACAAAGACAACGGGTTTTACCGGTTATTAAATGAGAGTAAAAATCCGTTGTCTAGATGAATGTTGTCTTATATCCTTAATGACAACAATTGTTGTAAACTCGAATATCGTTGTCGAAACACTCATTCACGATGGTTACGTAACTTAATAGTTGTCCTTAATAGCATAGACAACGATTTTACACATTTCAGCCACTTTGATAGTGTACCACATTGGTTTTAAAAATGAACCATTGTCATTAGTACACATTAACACTGTAACATATAAAGCTGTCGCCATATGTCATAAACTAATAAGGTTTCGTAATTAAGCAATGTAATTGTAAGTATATAGACCACTGTTTAAATTAATTTTATCATTCATTCCGGCCAGATGAATTGGTGTTCATTTCTAATAGAAATAACTAACATTATTTAAGGTTAAAAGATGAATACAGAGTTGAAATTGAAGTCAAGCAATACCCAGTTGCTCTTTCATAAAATAAAATAAAATAAATAAATAAATAATGAATCTAATCAACTCGTGGGTAGCTCAATTCGTTCCTAATGGATCCAGCCAATAAACCGAGTTTCATCTTATAGTTTTTAGGAAAATGCTGTGGCACGGGGCTTGTACATGTGTGTGGCCTGTACAACCAGCATAGTCCTAGTTTTTAAAGTATAATTGGATTGATTCTTGGTACAGGAGCAAATTTTTCAAATCAAACGGGTTAGTAAGAAATTCAATTTTGACAATACTTGAGGAAACCAACGTGGGTTGTCTTGTCTTTCTTTGCTACAATAGATAGGATATTTTATTTATTTAGATTAGATTATAAAATAATTCATATAAAACATTTCTTGTAAGAAGATGCAATCCTACCCGTTCCATAAATTAAAAAAAAAAATGAAATAAAGATCTATTATTGCTGCTTCTTTTTCCTCTTATAATTCTAGTCTAGTATCATCTTTAATTATTATTGCATTTAAAAATTGTAGGGTTATCTTCTCTTATAGCAAGAAGTTATTTAATCCCGGGCTTAATTTTTTCAAAAATGATTTTTTTTTTTCAAAATTCACGTTTATACGTAAACTTAAAATATTTTCTTATTTTTTAAACACATGATCTCCAAAAATTACTATTCTAAAATATATTCCCCCAAAATTGCATTTTAATGAAGCCTATTTTCATTGATATCCTCTATGACACAACGCTCGACTAGATAATAACTGTTGTCTTTACCAAATTATAATATCAATAAAGTACACTACCAAAAACTGTGCGAAGACGATGGGTTTTACCGGTTATTAAATGAGAGTAAAAATCCGTTGTCTAGATGAATGTTGTCTTATATCCTTAATGACAACAATTGTTGTAAACTCGAATATCGTTGTCGAAACACTCATTCACGATGGTTACGTAACTTAATAGTTGTCCTTAATAGCATAGACAACGATTTTACACATTTCAGCCACTTTGATAGTGTACCACATTGGTTTTAAAAATGAACCATTGTCATTAGTACACATTAACACTGTAACATATAAAGCTGTCGCCATATGTCATAAACTAATAAGGTTTCGTAATTAAGCAATGTAATTGTAAGTATATAGACCACTGTTTAAATTAATTTTATCATTCATTCCGGCCAGATGAATTGGTGTTCATTTCTAATAGAAATAACTACCATTATTTAACGTCAAGATGAATATGGAGTTGAAATTGAAGTCAAGCAATACCCAGTTGCTCTTTCATTAAAAAAAACAAAAAAACAAAAAAAAACAAATTACAAAAAAGAAGAAGACTTCAATCAACTCGTGGCTAGCTCAATCAGCTCTCAAACCTATAGTGCTGTCCTTGTGAGTCAGAAGAAGGTATATATGAAATCAAAAGACTGAAATATATGTCACAGAGTTTCCTCTTCTAAACAGGCAACAATATTATAAAGAAGGAATGAATAAAAAAAATAAAATAAAAATCAGCTCTCAAACCTATAGTGCTGTACTTGTGAGTCAGAAGAAGGTATATGAAATCAAACGAGTGAAGTATATGTCACATAGTTTCCTCTTCTAAACAGGCAACAATATGATAGGTATTGATAGTGACATTTCCAGCATCCCGATCAATAAAATTATCCCGACGACGATTTTTTGATGAACTTGTAACTCCAACTATGGTGTCCTCGAGCATGTGCCGTCCTCGAGACCTTATGCCCGGCCACATCCCGCTTGGCTGCTTCGCATATTGCAATAGTTGTCCTCGAGCATCAGCAGTCCTCGGGCATATGCTCCCCTCCAGCCTATGATAGTTAACCCTTTAGAATTCCTACGCAATTAGAACTCTTGACTCCCACAAGGATTCTATCCCACATATAATTATGGAATTTGACCAACTCCTTAACTATTCAGGACTCCAACAGATAAGGACATCCAGTGAGTTGGGTCCCACTAGGAGAATGTCGCTTGCTACTATAAATACAGAACCTTGAGCCATTATTCAGGTACGTTTTTCATTATTCTCCAGCATATAGCCTCACGCATATAATTCCCTTTCTGACTTAAGTATCGGAGGGGCGACGAGAACACACCTCGTTGCCTTTGTTTCAGGTACCGGAAGATCACGTTCGTGCTCGTCATCAGTCATCAAACTCGAAAAATCTGCAGGTACGATTTTTGGTAGCATTATTGGCGCCGTCTGTGGGAAACGCTACCAAAAGCCATGGTAAACACACGTTCAAGTCTCCCACCAACAAGCTCATCCGTTCCAAACCAACCTCCTCCCGAGGATATCCCTGTTCCTCAAGAGGAATCATCAGAAGTGCCAGAGCCCCAGTCGGCAGTCGTCACTATCGGAGCCTTTGAAGAGCTTAGACAACAGGTCGCCACACTAACTCAGCTACTAAGTCAAAGAAATTCGCATCCGTCACCCACACCGACACCCCGGAGGGTTTTATGGCTGATGCTCGAGCTCGAGCTCAGAGACATGTCCCTGACAATGGCGGAGCAGGGGCCTCGGGCATACCACATGTGACCTCGGCCTCGAGATCAGTGGCCATCCTCACTAGGATTATTCAAGAAAGAATTACGACGGGCCTACTTCACGGTCAGCAAGATTCAGTCCCAACACTCCCTTTACTCCCGAGATATTGACATTCCCCTTGCCAGACAGATTTAAGTATCCTAGGATCAAAGAATATGATGGGACCACTGATCCAATCAATCATCTTAACATATACACGGACGTCATGAATCTAAAGGTCGCACCGGATCAGGTGATGTGCAAGGCCTTCCAGCAAATTTTGACAAATGCTGCTAGGGACTGGTTCTCAACCTTAGAGCCCAACTCCATAGCCTCATTCTCGAATTTGGCGGACAAGTTCTCTACTTTCTTTGTAAGCAGCAAACGCATCAGGAAGATAGCGGTTTCCCTTATGCAACTTAGACAAGGGCAAAATGAGACCCTACGTGACTTCATGACCAAGTTCAACAAGGAAAGACTTCAGATTCCCGACCTACATATAACTGCAGCAGTTTCTGCCCTCACATATGCCACAAAGTGTGAGGCTTTCAAGATGTCTTTACAAAACTCCGTCAAAGACAGTGACCGAGCTTCTTACCCGAGCCGAGAAATACATAAATATGGAGGAAACACTGAACTCGAGAAAAGTTGGACCATCCAATGATAGGGTCGAGTATAAACGACAGCACAACTCGAACCCCCGTCAAGAACCACCTCGGAGAAAACAGAGACACGAGGTTCCGCCGACGTCATTCACGCGTTTAAATACGTCAAAAACAAATATATTGATGGAGATCAATGATATGAAGGAACTCAAATGGCCTGTCAGAATGAGGTCACCACCCGAATCCAGGGACATGAACACGTACTGTGAGTTCCATCGGGATCATGGGCATACCACGAAAAATTGTAAGGCCCTGCAACGAGAGATTGAAGCTCTTATTAAAAAAGGACTTTTGAGTTCCTATATCGGTAACGACAAACGCTCGAGGAACGACCGTGATAGGGAAAGAGCCCTGAAGCAAAAAGGGATGGTCAACCCACTGCTGGAACCATCAATATCATCATTGGGGGTATTGCCTCGGGAGGAGACTCGAACAGTGGAAGAAAACAATATGCCCGACAATATGCCTTGGCCTTTAGGATGCCTCATGGAAAGCTGGAGGATATTACTGTTGGAACCAGGGACTTGGAAGGTGTATCACTTCCACATGATGACGCCTTGGTCATCTCAGCGATTGTCGCCAATTTTGAAGTAAAGAGAATCTTGGTTGACAACAGGAGTACGGCCAATATAATTTCACAAGAGGCTTTTACCAAAATAGGAATCTCATCTCAGCATCTCAAAGCGGTTAAAACTCCTCTCCAGGGGTTTGGGGGAGGAGTCATCACTCCAGAGGGTGTCATCGAGCTTCCTCTAACTTTGGGTTCTGGCTAGAAACAGGTTATGGAGATGACAACCTTTCAAGTGGTACGTGTCTCAATGGCCTATAACGCTATTCTGGGAAGACCACTCCTTAACAAGATCAAAGCCATTGTGTCTACCTTCCACCTAGCCTTGAAGTTTCCAACAAGTAATGGCGTTAGGGTCGTACGTGGAGACCAAACAACTGCCAGACAATGCTATGTTGCAGCGTTCGGGAAATAAGTAACGACGTCATGCAAATCTCGAGGACGGAGCCCGAGGCCGGGCAACAAGTCAGACTTGCTCCTGTTGAAGAATTGATGGAAATCAAGCTCGAGCATGATAAGAAGGTGACGATTGGTCGGGATCTTGACGCCACCCTAAAAACAGAACTTATTGGTTGCTTATCTCGCAACATTGACCTTTTTGCCTGGAAGGTTGAGAATATGCCGGGGATAGACCCCAAAATTGCAGTCCACAGGCTTAACATTAGCCTAGGGGCCAAACCAGTAAAGCAGAGGAAAAGACAGTTTGCCCCAGAACGTCGGGAGGTCATTCGTGAAGAAATTAGCAAACTCGTCAGTGCTCAATTCATTCGGGAGGTCCAATATCCTGATTGGCTTGTCAATGTTGTTTTAGTGAAGAAGGCCAATGGTAAGTGGAGGGTCTGCATTGACTTCATAGATCTTAACAAAGCATGTCCAAAGGATAGTTATCCCCTACCGCGGATTGACAACTTGGTGGATAGCACATCTGGACATAAGCTATACAGCTTCTTGGACGCATTTTCTGGTTATCATCAAATCCTCATGGCCAAGGAAGATCAAGAAAAGACGTCATTCATGGCCGATTCCATCATATACTGTTATAAGGTCATGCCTTTCGGTTTGAAGAATGTAGGGGCAACATACCCAAACTTCCTCTAACTTTGGGTTCTGGCCAGAAACAGGTTACAGAGATGACAACCTTTCAAGTGGTACGTGTCTCAATGGCCTATAACGCTATTTTGGGAAGACCATTCCTTAACAAAATCAAAGCCATTGTGTCTATCTTCCACCTAGCCATGAAGTTTCCAACAAGTAATGGCGTTGGGGTCGTGCGTGGAGACCAAAAAGCTACCAGACAATGCTATGTTGCCAGCGTTTGGGAAATAAATAACGACGTCATGCAAATCTCGAGGACGGAGCCTGATGCCGGGCAACACGTCGGACTTGCTCCTGTCGAAGAATTGATGGAAATCGAGCTCGAGCATGATAAGAAGGTGACGATTGGTCGGGATCTTGACGCCACCCTAAAAACAGAACTTATTGGTTGCTTATCTCGCAACATTGACCTTTTTGCCTGGAAGGTTGAGGATATGCCGGGGATAGACCCCAAAATTGCAGTCCACAGGCTTAACATTAGCCCAGGGGCCAAACCAGTAAAGCAGAGGAAAAGACAGTTTGCCCCAGAACGTCGAGAGGTCATTCGTGAAGAAATTAGCAAACTCGTCAGTGCTCAATTCATTCGGGAAGTCCAATATCCTGATTGGCTTGCCAATGTTGTTTTGGTGAAGAAGGCCAATGGTAAGTGGAGGGTCTGCATTGACTTTACAGATCTTAACAAAGCATGTCCAAAGGATAGTTATCCCCTACCGCGGATTGACAACTTGGTGGATAGCACATCTGGACATAAGCTATACAGCTTCTTGGACGCATTTTCTGGTTATCATCAAATCCTCATGGCCGAGGAAGATCAAGAAAAGACGTCATTCATGGCCGATTCCGTCATATACTGCTATAAGGTCATGCCTTTCGATTTGAAGAATACAGGGGCAACATATTAAAGGCTCATCAACAAAGTCTTTGCTAACTTGATTGGAAAGAATGTGGAGGCGTACGTTGATGACATGGTGGTCAAGAGCAAACAGGTGGACCAACATATTTTCGATCTTGAAGAGGTTTTGGACACCTTGTGAAAGTACAAAATGAAGTTGAACCCCGCAAAATGTGCATTTAGCGTAGCCTCGGGCAAGTTCTTGGGCTTTATGAGCACTCATCGGGGGATAGAGGCTAACCCAGACAAAATACAAGCCTTGGCATCTATGGAATCACCAAGAAACAAGAAAGAAGTATAGAGGTTGACTGATAGGATAGTAGCCTTGAACAGGTTCATATCCCGAGTATCAGACAAGTGCTATCCCTTCTTCAAAGTCCTCAGAGGAAACCAAGGCTTTGATTGGAGTGAAGACTGTGAGAAAGCTTTTTCAGGAGCTCAAGCAAACATTAGCATCTCCTCATATTCTCACTAGGCCTGAGCTTGGTGACACCTTATTTTTGTACTTGGTCGTATCTCAAAACGCGGTCTGTGAGGTCTTGGTGAAAGAGGTTAACAGAGTCCAACAACCTATCTACTACGTAAGCAAGGTCCTACTAGATGCGGAAACAAGGTATACTTTGGCAGAACAACTTGCCCTTGCCTTGGTGATAGCAGCTCGAAAACTCCGGCAGTATTTTCAGTCTCACCCTATTGTGGTGCTCACTAATCAACCACTTAGGCATATACTTCAGAAGCCGGACGTCTCAGGAAGACTGATGAAATGGGCGATCGAGCTTGGAGAATTTGACATCGAATTCAAAGCACGCCCATATATCAAAGCCTAAGCACTAGCCGACTTCATTGCAGAACTAACCCCTAGGCCTCGGGGGCCAGGTGACGGCTCGAGCATGAGCACCTATTTGGACACTTAGAAAATTTTTGTAGATGGAGCATCGAACTCCTCGGGCTCGGGTGCAGGGGTCATCATCATCAGCCCTGACAAACATACGGAGATTCAATACGCTCTTAGGTTCGAGTTTGAAGCAACCAATAACGAGGTCGAGTATGAGGCCGTCGTTATTGCTCTGGAGCTAGCCCTTAGCCTTGAGCTCGAGTTCGTGAAGGTATTCAGCGATTCACAATTGGGTTGTTGGACAGATTGAAGGATCATTTGAAAGGAAAGACGAGAAAATGAGTTTGTACTGCATGAAGGTTCAGGATCTTCAACGAAAATTCAAGAGTTGTGAAATAGCAAAAATTGCTCGAAAGGACAACGGAAAAGCCGACGCATTATCCAGGCTTGTGTTCATGGGGGTAGACAGCCTGGAAAGAACAGTTCACATCAAAGTCATCACAGAACCTAACATTAATCAAATCCCCGACGTCATGGACATTGACAATGAACCGTCTTGGATGGACCCAATCATAGAGTTCATCAGAAGTGGAAATCTACCAAGCGATGCCAGGTTGGCTAGAAGCATCAGAGCTCGAGCTCCTAGGTACCGCATGATCAGCGGTGTCCTCTTTTGTAGAAGTATTACTCTTCCACACCTAAGGTGCCTTAGACCATCAGAATCATCCCAGGCCCTTGCTGAAGTTCATGAAGGTGTGTGCGGGAATCATCAAGGAGCCAGGGCCCTGGCCTTTAAACTCATACGATATGGGTACTATTGGCCAACTATGAAATGTGCAGGCAATTTGACAATCAACAGTTTAGGGACTTTTGCTCAAACCTTGGGATTGATCACCGCCTGACTTCAGTTTCGCATCCTTAGAGCAATGGTTTGGCCGAGGTAACAAATCGAATCATATTACAAGACCTTCAAACAAGAATTAGCAATGCTAGGGGTTCTTGGTCCGACGAGCTGCCTTCTATACTATGGACGTAGAGAACAACTCATAGGATAACCACAGGAGAAACCCCTTTTATGTTAGCCTATGGCATTGAAGTAATGGTCCCGGTGGAAATTTAGACGCCAAGCCATAGGAGGCTCATGCTAGAAACCTCGGGGCATACAACAGAACACCTTGATCTTTTGGAAGAAGTACGGAAGCAAGTCGCTATAAAGGTGGCCTCTTACCAAGCTAAGACAGCAAAACATTTTAATAGCAAAGTCAAGACTCGGAGGTTCATAGCTGGCGACTTGGTCTTGAGGAGGGTCGAAACAGCAGGTCACCCCCCAGGGAAGCTCGGGCCCATCTGGGAAGGACCCTTTGAGGTCATACGACAGGTTCGCAAAGGAGCATACAGCCTAAGAGACACTTCGGGTAGACCTCTTCCAAGGCCCTGTAATGCCGATAATCTGAAAATATATTACAAGTAACATTCTCAATGCCATCTAGAAGATTTTCTTTTCTTGCATTTTTAATTCTTCTGAATGTTATTTTTGGTTCTTCGGGCCAGCGTGCCCTTACATTTTATTTCTAGTTTAGCGGGCCTGCGTGTCCATGCATATTTTTCGTTTTCTTTTGTCATGAGCTACGTTCGGCTTGATCCCGTTTGGGTACGTAGGCAGCTTGGATACAATATAAATCCGAGTCCAGCCCGAGGAATTGATAAATTCAAACTTTGGGTATAACAGCCCGATAGTTTGCTTTGGGTCCAGGAATTACCTAAGCCTTGTCCTCGACAAACCAATGTAAGCCTTGTCCTCAAGCAAGCCGCCCTAAGCCTTGTCCTCGTCAAGCAATGTAAGCCTTGCCCTTGAGCAAGCAGTCCAAAGCCTTACCTTGAGCCCTAGCCTTGCCCCGAGCAAGCACCAAAACCTTGGAGCCCCAAAATCAGCACATCAAAATCGTGCAACACAAGTAAACATCCCGAGGACATACATCTATGAATTTTTATCTAAGGTTCCAAAGTGAAAGCTCGGGATATACTTCCGTACAGAGGTCGGTCACAATTCTTCGTACACCTCGAGGTTACCACCCCTCGCGATTAGTCCTTGAGGTAATTGAATACTAACATTGGGATTTTTTTTACCGTCAAGTGTTAAACTACATCCTACGTTCACCACTGTCCTCGGCATTATAACTTGTTTAAAATCGAATTATTTCTTCTCAATCGTCGAGATGATTAATTCGTCATCGAAATAATTAATCTTTGTTGTCGTCGAGAAACTTGTGCAAGCTCGAGCTCATTACATAATGTTCATAAATGAGTTTACAAATTGAGTCCTCGAGGTAAATTGTCTACATGCTCGAGTTCAACACTTGATGTTCAAAAATGATTTTACAAT